AAAATTCTGTCCAGGATTGGTGCATATCACAATGAAATGTCAAGATACCGTAACACTTGAGATATCTGATAAATTAACCTATTCTTTTTTTTTTTTTTTTTTTTTTTTTTTTTTTTGTATATATACTTTGAGATTGAATGGTTTTTTTTTTGTTCAGTAGTAATAAATATCTGGAAATTAGTTTTACATTCTTCTAAAACGCCGATATAATTGGTGTTGGGGTTGGCACTTCTAGCTCACCTGAGGTAAAAGCTAAAGTGAGCTTTTCTGATCACTTTTTGTCTGTCGTCCGTCCGTCCGTCTATAAATTTTTTACATTTTCAGCTTCTTCTCACGAACTACTGGGCCACTTTCAACCAAAATTGCCTCAAAGCATCCGTGGATAAAGGGGATTCAAGTTTGTTTAAATGAAGGACAATGCTCTCTTTCAAGAGAATAAGTTAGGAATTGGTGAAACATTAGTAACATCTTTTAAAAATCTTCTCAAGAACCACTGTGTAAGAAAAAATTAATTGAAGCTTATTTTGAAAACTTGCAAATGGTGGAGTCTCCATATGAGTGAAAAATTCGAGAGAGGGACATTAAACAACAAACAAACAAACTTAAGCAAAATCAGTTTGTTCAACCATGACCCAAAGGGCTAGAGTAGGGCCACAATGGGAGATCAAAGTTTTACATACTAGTAATATATACAGAATTTTTTTTAGAATTCTTCTCAAGAGCCAAAGGTGGATCCACAGGTAAAATTTCATAATGAAATAATTTACTTAATATATAGTAATACAGCATCGCACACATATGACATTTTTATCTTGTCTAAAAAATTCTGACCCCTCCCCCTTTCTGAAATTTTTCGATTCACCATTAAAAACAGCAGTAGGCCCGTGATTAGTAATGTTTATATGGAAGTACTATCAGTAGTGTAGATTCAAGTATCTTCAAATCATGACCCCCGGGGTAGGGTGAGTCACAATGGGTGATCAAAGTTTTACATGGGAAAATATAGGAGAGTGAGACACATATTGTCGCCAGTGACAATATGTACATGTTTAACTTTTCAGCTGGCGACAATACGTACCGATGGACGGCAATATGTGCAATAAAGGTAAGTACATATTGTTGCCGACGACAATATGTACAAAACGACAATTTTTACCGTCACAGTCCTCTCCGCAATGAAGTTTAGTTACAATTAACCTTCAAAGTTATTTCTTATACACCTTACATTTGAAAATTCATTTCGGCGTCATTTTTGTTCTACTTTCGATAGCGATTTCTGGTGTCGCGCCACACGAAAATAAAATCAAGAACAATTATAATTCAAATTTGTCATCCTTAATTAAGAAAATAATTATCTTGAATAAAACATTTATTTTATTGTTTTTCCAATTAAACGTTGTTACAGGATATATAAATACATCTAAATACATTTCTCATAACCACGTGTGGAAAGTCAAAATAAAAATTTAAAAGGGGTACCTTAGTCACAAAAAGCGTTCCCCATAAAAAACAATTTTGTCTTTATAAAGTATTCAACATACAATTAACATTTTCGAATCGGCAGTTTTAAAACTGTTTGAGGATGCTATTGCTAGATGGGGGAGTTAAAATCCAAGGCGTCTCGCATATAGATTATATAAAGTAATCATCATTCCGTCCAACAGTCAAGTTAATCGAGTTAAGTTTACTAAATCAGGTCCAGTCATATACGTAAGTTATTAATTAATATTACACCAAACGTCAACAGATCTTCATCATCAAGGACCGGAATGACGGCTTGTCTCATTACATTTTAACTATTTCCGTCAAGTGAGAGAGACAGGGTTAAACGTTTCACATGTATTTACGTACGGATTAAGCTCATTTATCATTTGAGAACAATTTTGTTTCTTCCCTTTTACTTTTTTTTTCTGTTCAAACTAATCATTTGCATTTAGACATTTTCCTGGTTTCCTGATGATTAGGATTTCCGATTTTTTTTTCTATTTTTGTCCCAATGTCAAACACTCTGTCAGTCTCTAAACTCCGAAAACTTTTTAAAATTTTCGGTTTTTCAAAAGGAGTCCAATACTTTTGTATGTAAAATTTCTTCCTTTCTTCACCAGTCATAAATCCAATATTTTGAAAGTATATAATCGTGCTTATCCTATCTTTGTCGTGTCTTTCTCGATGAAATGAATAATGAATGGAGATCGTTGTACATATACTGAAAAAATCAAAGAAGGCTTTTGCTGCAATAGAGACTCTGACTGGAGCAAAATTTGCCTATGACCATTTATTACTCTGTATTATGAATTATTTGTCACTTAAAAACATGCCACTTGATCAAAATGTATGTAGATTTTTTTTTCGTTTTTTACAGGGGAAAATTTCTTAGAATTTCAAAGTGTCATTAAACAGATTGACAAATGAAGTTTTAAGTTTTGTCTCCTATTCAAGTCAGGGTTCTGAAAAAGAAAGATATTCTGTCACAGGAAAACCATTTCACTAATACTCAAATCTGGAGGCTATACTTACCGAAATCAATTTCCTTCACATTTATTCTTTCATCTCTTAATAACCATGCTATAAGCAATATCTACGATGTTAATAATTTGAATTTCACACAATGTCATGAGGATATCTGATTCATTTTAAACCTAATCGAATCATTTTGAAGTTAACTTTGTCTGTCCACACATATACGAATGATCAAATCATTACAAGTATACATTTTATTATAATAATTGTATATTTAGTTTCCCATCGTTTGAATTCATTTTCTTTCTTTTGTTTTACTTCTCTTTGAAATTGTAGTCGGAAAAATAAACCGCACTTTGGCTTTTCGCTTATTATCATATAGATGTAATTGCACTTGCTTTTTACTAATGGAAAATAGTAGCTTGAGTAAATTTTAAAATGTATTAATAAACCTCTATTAATTTTCAAGATTTTCTGAACATACGAATATTTTCCTCATCCCCTTGATGTCTCATGTCCAGATTCATTGTTTGCTGATAAATATACCTGATGGCTGAGGGATTAAGAGAGCTAATGTTAATTTGTAATAGTCCTCTCTAGAATCACTTGCAAATTCATCAAACTGGTCAAACTTCACATAAATGTAAGATAAAAACATAGATCTAAGCGTATTTGATAACCAAAGGTGAAAAATTCCCCCTGTTGTGATCGTCTATTCCATCTGGTTATTATGCTATTCATATGAGAAGAGCTGAGTGTAAATGTGAATGTTATCACACTTGTATTAATGTTGAAAAAAAAATCAGGTCTTTATATAGAATTAATGCTTTAAAACAGGTGCGCCTAATGGAATGATTCATGGGTCCACGTCCTTAAAGGCCGAGATTTTTAACCGCAGAGTTTTCTCAAGTAAGGGGAGGGACTTAATTTTACATGCTTGGTACCCCGAGGCATTGACGGTCGTGCAGACCGTGCAGAGCGTTAATCCCTATACACAAACAGTATACACAGGAAGTCCATGAGTATTACCTGTACAGCTTGTTTGGCCTACATTTCATCGGGAAATAAAATTATTAGATTTCTACATCGATAGAAAATATCATTATTACACTAATGTCAAACAAACGAAAATCCCATCGATTTTTGTAAAAATCTGTGTACCTTAAGTCATTTTAGCAATGAGTTAAGTTCATTGTTAAAATTAACGAATACAGGTATATTTTTTGAAGTAATATAAGATATTCATCCTTCTTGTCCATTTCAAATTTTTTAAAAATTATTATCGTGAATATCGTAGCCTCGATCACGGTCAATATTAACAGATATTATACTTTCATGTAAATTAGTTGAATCTGATTCGTCGAGAAACATTTGTTAAAAAACACTATTACCCGCTGAATGTTGAAGCCACGCCCTCCAGCGTAGCAACAGTCAACATTGCTTGACGACGGGTGATATTCCAAAAAATAGTGACTGCGCAGAATTTATGCGCGCAAGGTTCACTGTTATATGTATTTGTATAAAACATTCAGTATAATATAATAAATATCGCATGTAGTTGAGTGTAACATTGAAAATTTTCACCCCTCGAAAACCATTGTCAACCTCGGCTGCGCCTCGGTTGACAATGGTTTTCTTGGGGTGAAAATTTTCAATGTTACACTCAACTACATGCAATATTTATATATTACTTCCCGTCTTCATGAAAAGTCGCGTGATCCTATTTTTAGCAAATGTGTCCTATGGTGAAAAATTTGTGAGAACGATGCTTTCATAGAGTTAAAAATACTCGTACAGTATTTAAGTAAATTTAGATTATAATTAACCAATTTCGAACGAATTATATATCAATTGTTAACATACGTATTTCTTTCAAAAATATTTTTAACACCCCGGTGAGGAGATAACAACCCACGTAGCGAGAAATACTGGGTAAGAAACCCTCAATACTTTGTACACAAAGGCAAAGTTGTTACTGATATTTTGCTTTTATCCTCGCTATCCATTATACGCAAAAAGCGTCGTGTTAGCAGCTTTTTCCCTACTCTATTTCCATCGTAATTTTTCGCCATGGCTCAAGAAATTATTCTAGGAGTGAAAGGTCATACAAATGCATACTTTATGTGCCATAGCACATTCCAAAACGTACGTGCAACATCATATGAGATGCATTAGTGTCAGCTCACTCTGCAAACTCATGCCTTCGGGAATGTACGTTTACAACTGTGCCAGCTCACAGTCTACTGGAGCTGATACTAAATCACATGTTACCACTTGTAACAGTACAGGGTTTAATTAAACATATATTTCTCATGCAATGTTTCATGACATTTCGTAGAAGTGATATCTCAAGTACAATATACAATCATTTAACGCAGTCATACAATGTATTTACGTTTTTCGCCAGTCAAACACAAAAAGCATCAGATTGCAAAGCATACACAGAAGCAGCCCAAAGAATCTCATCAAGGCACATATAAAGAATAATCCAACAAAATAACAAAAATAAGAAATTCGTTGTACAGATTTGAGCTTTGTACCTGCGATAATAAGGGGTTGAATATCCCACAATAAAAACAAATCAAGTTGACTGGCGAATGTATGTTGACGAGGCAATGCACGCTGGAAGAATGAAGGCGTGTGCAAAATTAGAGCATCTGGTCGGTTGCTGATAAGAAATTATCAGATTACAAGAATGTAAATTGAACGAAGAAAGAAATCAGAGTTGTTCTTCTTGCCATGTCAGATGTTTTACATAAATTAATTTAATGCTGTAAATTAAGATTTATTATTATTATTTTTTTTTTTTTTTTTTTTTTTTTTTTTTTTTTTTGCAGAAGGCTTCTTTATCGCGCTGTTATACAGCCTGTATATGCGGTAAACATGAAAAGACCAAAAGTTAATTTGATGGTCTCCACGAGCGTCAAACAAGGTGTACAAGGTATACACAGGAACTAGTAGCTAAATGTCAATCAATTTTAAGCACCCAATGATAAACCTTAATTCACTTGAATTGACGGGGGTATACAGACCAGGTAAATCTGAAGGCGGTGCTTATTATCTCGGGCTTTAACATACATGCACATCTAAATTCCGTATTTTAGTTTCGTTTTTTTTTTTTATTTCGTTTTTCCTATTTGATAATTTTGGTTTTTATTTTGTATTTTCTTTTTTATATTATCATTTTCTTTCTTTCTTTTTTTTTTTTTTAATTTCTTTTTTTTTTTTTTAATTTTGTATCTTTTTTTTAGTTTTTGTTTGCACTATTGGGCTTCTGTTATATATCTAATTTACGCAGGAAAGAAATAAATATAGGTAATTGATACAAGTAATAGCTTTTCAAAAAGCTTGTCTGACTAAATCAAGCAATATCTATAGAAAGTAAAGCAAGAGAAGTGCTAAACGATTCCTTCATCAAGGAGCGACATAGTTTCGATACTTCTTTACACAGGATGTACAACTGACTTTCTCAAATGTCATAACCAGATATAACATCCGATGAAACGCTTTGGCATTATACCTAGTGAGTTGGTTTTGCTATTGTCATGTTTTGCAAATATAGTGTTCCCAAAAATTATTGAGAATTTTTTCGTGAAATGTTTTTTCAAAATATTTTAAAAATAAAATATTTATTGTTTAAAATTAGTTTTTTCTTAAATGACAATAAATGCTACTTTCTTGTTTTATATAGTTTTCATGAAAAAATCACCGATTTCATTGTATACTTCCGTTCGATTGCTAATTTTCAAAATGAGTGTTTTTGAAAAAAGAAAGCCTTTTTGTAGATGTTTATTATCAAAGAATTGCAAAACTAGCGATACTTCTGAAACACTGAGTATTTCACTGTCTACTATTGATTTACATGGGACAAATTATAAAAAAAAAGGAATTCAACAGAGGGAAAGAGCTGATTGGACTAGGAATGAAACCCCGTTTTGTACACTTAGTGTTGTTCTTACTTAGCAAATATCCAAGCCTTCTTTGATCTTTGAATGTAAGTTTACTTGGCCTACAAACTCTTTTCCTTATCTGAATTCCTCTTTTTTTTTTCAGAATTTGTGTATCACACAATACAATTGCAAAGTAGAAAGTGAAATATTCGGTTTTTCAGAAATATCACAAGATTTAACAATCCCATACTGAAATATGCTTTCTATTTACAATGGCATCAGCAAACTATCATGGTAGGTATATTAAATAAATGGGAGGCTATCCATGAAAACTGCATGTATCATTAGAAATTAAGTATGTGGTACTGTCATTAAATAAAATAGTAACATTAAGTTATTTTGCATGTTATTAATCCAACAATTTAAATAAATGTAACATAAAAAATTCTAAATAATTTCTTGGAACACTAAAGGAGGCGTATGCTTGATATGTTGTTATGCAAAGTAAATGTGCGTATGGTAGGCTATATATGCAAACAATTTATTGAGTCATGTTGCACTTGCTATAATTGATTATTAAGAAGTTTTATTTTTTCAAAATTTTAATGCTCTTTCCGAGAAATCAATTAAATTAATTTACAGCAAAAAACGATATTTGGCCTACTTGAAATGAATGAAACAGTGTTAATTACTTTCTCTCGAAATAGAAGTTTTGCAATTCATTTATGTTTAGTTTTCATATAACTAACACAACTAAAACTTGGTGTAAGTACCTTAGTGTTTTCGGAAATGATACATGAGCAAACTATAAGCAGGAAGGTTTACATAAATATGCTATTTTTAATCATAGCTAATACATTGTTTGTAGATATTAGATGATGACAAAAATAATACAGTGAGATATCTATTTATAGTAAAACATGTACAGGGGTATTTTATTTTCAGTTGACTTGGGAATTGTTTACCATGACACCCATTTCACGTGACAATGTGATATAAAATGTAAATGATACAAAAAAACTTACTTATGCTAATACGTTTCAGTGAATAAATGCATGTCGCAATGTTCGTTTATGATATTTTTTTCTATGTTAAATACATTATTTTGAATCAAACCTGAAATCAAATTGCGTTGTAGTACATATTTTTATTCTATAAGAAATTATGAAAATTACGATATTTCAAACTTAAAACTCTACATTTATTCCTACTGTAGTTGACGCAATAGAACTCTCTACCACTTGAAATTAGAAATTTACGATTGATGTCAAATTTAGAAAATGTAAAATTACGAGGGTTGTCCGGTAAAATCGTGGACAAGTTGTCTATATTGAAAAATAATAATCACTGCGTTCTAAAACTTTCACTACTTTTTAGTACATTTTTCATCATTATACATAGCAAATTTCAAACAGATATCTGCTCAAATAAACAAAATATGAGACTTTATGTTATATGTGGTATCGCCTTACGGTGCACGGATAATAACGTCAAAGTCTCTAAAGCAGCGTCACGTTTCCTTTTTTCTAAATAAAAGTTAGATAAGCTCCACTTAAATTCGGGGTTTTCATTGATGCACATACTTGATTTACCCTTTATTCCTCGATAAATAGTCGAGGAACCAATCTCGCACACACCTGGGACCTTTTGAAGATTTATTAGTAAGTTATGGACAGTACTCTCACTATCATTCAACTAAACAGGCTCTCTTATATCGACGGTCTACAGTGACAGCGTCTTTTGCTATTGCCAGTAGCTGTTTGCCCGCATGTTTTGTTCTACCCGGGGACCAGATCATAAACTTCCGCTTAGAAAACTCGCATTTCACTTGTATACTAAAGATCTAGTGATATTTTTATATTTGTTTTTCTTCTGTAGTCATTTAAAGTTTCTTAGGGCATCATTACTACATCTAAATCAAACTGAACTGCTCTCCGGTGAGCCGTAACGTCACCAAACGTCGCCATTTTTCGTGTGTTGCGTTTACCACTTTCCCATTTCAAATGCTCGGGAAACAACGAAAAATTAAGCAAATGCCTTGATATTTTACAAAAGACGAAATAATAGATAGTGGATTAAAAATATGATAATTTTTACCCCAACCTTATCTATTTAATACTTTTATTTCGAAATAATACTCGTGTATTCGCTAATGAAACCCTGAATTTTTTATCGTGCGCCGTAGGACTGTACCCTGTGCACATTCAAGCATAATAAAATCTTTATTTTTGTCTATATTTTATCAAAAAAATTAAGATGCACTTAGATATGATGAAGAAACATTTGCTGAAAATTTCAGCTTAGTGCGCCCATTATTTTTCGAGAAAAACGCTTTGTCCACGATTTTACCGGACAACCCTCGTAGTAACCTATTTAACGAACTGGCTCCACCATCATGTATTGATTATGGTAACTGGCAACTTAATTTCTTAAAACCAGACCTCGGCATGATAATGTATTGAATAATGACCTTTACAAATGCAATTTAACTTCAAGCCCTCTATGTTCCTGCGATGCAATAGAGGATATATAAATTCTTTTTTATATATGCCCAAGGAATGTGAAAGCTGGAAAAGAATTTTGCAATTTTTTCTTTATGATACAATTCACATTTTAGCTACATGTACACACGTCTTTTAATGGGATATGGATTCATTGAGTGCTGCAGAGAATGGATGTTTTTCCCTTTTGTTTCAACATTAACATTAAAAATGGTAGATTTCCTTGTTAGTATCTAAAAAATATACCGGCTTGCATCTTCAAATTGCAATGAATTGTTAATTTTTGCAAATGTTTTGCCAACCTTTATTACAGTGGTCTTTAAAACACTTGCAATGGTTATGAATAAACGACATAAAAATATAGTTATTCTTAATTTAAAAACTGATTCTCCAGTTTAATTTGAATAAGGTTATTGATCAACCAATGTGAATTTTAGTTGCATCACATCGCCGTAGAAAGGCCTTGCAAAGCCTCGTGATATGGCAACTTGAGCATTGGTCTTAGGGGTTATCATCTAGTCTGAAGAAATATGAAGAGGCCACTTCTAGTTTTCATATATCGATACTTTGTATTTTCACTTAATATGTTGCGCATTAAACATGTTTTTTATATAAGAACAAGAAAGTAATTATCCATGCATCGGACAATGTCCGATGCATGGTAAAATGAACATACTAGTAACATGGCCTTAAGAACGGGGGGGGGGGGGCACGGGGGGCGTGCCCCCCAAATAATTTTGCCGATAATTAGTTTACTATAGAAAACATAGCTACTATATGCTTGTGCCCCTTCATAAAAACGTTTGAGGACCTTTTTTTGGTAGTTGATAATGTCCCCTCAACTGAAAATGTATAGCTGTACCCCCCCCCCCAAAAAAAAAAAAAAAACTGAAATTGCTTCCTACGGGCCTGAGTAAAACATTTCTTTGAAAATTTAATATACAAACTTTGAAATCAAGTTTCCTGAGATAATCTATAAAATTATCAAATCTAATGATAGTAAGAAAAATTTGCAAAATCAAAAAAAATCTGTTTACTTCCATTTGATGAGTCAAATATGGCGTAACTTCAAGGCCATTATCCTGGTATTTTTATCAACACATGATAATAAAAATTGGCATCTTTAATCCTTCGGATTTTAGTCAGACACAAGTCTAAACACGGAGACATTCAGGCTCAATGCAAATTTATAACTTCAAGTTTGTTCGAAGCAATATATGCGCCCATTGCATGGTGAACTCACCCTACACGTCTTGTCTGCATCCCAAAATTTTACATGTAAGTTCGAATGACCACTTTCCCCATAAACATATTGAATTTCTTTGAAAGTATGTCTATCGAATACAAATACCTAATCACCACCCTCAAACCAATATAAAAATTACCCTTACATAGAGGTTTCTTTAATCTTAAGACCGCAAGTGAAAGTTGATATATAATAATTATAGTCATTAACTGCTCATAAAATTAGTTATTCGATCGGACAAATTAGTAATTCGTTTGGACAAATTAGTAATTTGTTCGGAAAAAATTGTAATTCATTTGGACAACTAAGTAATTGACTAATTTAAATTAAAACAATTGCAATTTTACTTACTTCATATGGGTTTAATGATTTGCACATGTAGATCTAGCGAAAAAATTTTCACTTTCGATTTTATAATGCTATTTACAAGTTTAACAACATGCACGTGCAATATGTCATTACACGTCTTATATATTTTTCAATATCCCTTTCCATGAAATCAGGCTTCAACGAAAGAGATACATAAGTATAGTATGTTATTTGCACTTCACCTTTGCTCAAGTAACTGAGTGTTTTATGAAACAATACATTAAGAATTACTTTAGAAAAAAGAGATGTAGTACAATGAAAGATAAAATATCTACCAGGAAGCTTTCAGAATTAATTGAACTTATTAATAGTAGCTAATAACTATCATATGATGGAAATGAATATCATATAATTTCGGAATATAATGAAGTAAGGTTTTTATTTATATTTATCCAGGAAGCATTTTAAAATAAGGTTTTGTGAAAACAAAAGTATGGGATTTTTTTTAACCATAAGACCCATTTCACGTGACAGTGTGTTTTAAAAGTATTTATGATACTCGTTTCTAAAACACCAAAACATAAGCATAGTTTTGATTAGTGCATTGATTTTTCGTTGAGTTTTTTCCTCACAAGTTTATTATACGTATTATGTGTGATGGAAATACGTTTCCTTTTGGAAGGCATCATTAGTTTCATAAGTAAGTTGCAAAATAGTTTATTTTTCAGCAGGAATTAAAAAAAATGACTTTCTTTGTAAAAACTGAATGCTAGAAAACATCGAGAGGGGGGAGAAAAATAAGCATTATTTTGTTTTTGGGATCTAACTAATTTCTTTACTTACTTATGCTACTTTGTATCAATGATTAAGGACAAATGCTACAAACTTTTATCAAAAATCATTAAAATACATTCCAATCCAGGTATCCATTTTTGTTATTTATTTATTTTGTATCATTTCTCCTTAATAAATACGTGTTATATTAATCATTTGATGAGAACAAAAAGAGGCAAAATACATCCTAGATATACTAGACATAAAAATAATTTGAGGCAACATGAAGAACCATAGCAAAAAGGTGATTTCTTGCCAAAAAAATCGCAAAGTTATTCAAAGAAAGAGTCAAAACAGAAAGCAAAGAAAAAAAAATTGATCATTCATCTGTAATGAATCTTTTTAATTACCTAATAATACATAACAGTAATCAGATCTCTCAAATCAAAAGTTTACTGATTCTAGAAACCTTTTGAAACCGTTATTCAGTATCAATCTTTGATTGATTGATTATATGTTGTTTTACGTACCATTCGAGAATTTTTCACTCATATAGAGACGTCACCATTTACCGGTGAAGGGCTTCAAATATTGACCTTTTCTCGGCACTTACAACCATTGAGCAGTGAGGGATCTTTATCGTGCCAACGCCAGTCATGACACGGGACCTCGGTTTTTTAGGTCTCATCCAAAGGACCCGCAACTTTCACTTCAAAGAGCCGAGCGCATGGCGAAGGAACAGCTGCTACCCATTTTTTATCGACTAAGGTCAGTCGCGAGCGCTCTACCGTCTGAGCTACCGTGAACGGTGTATCAATCTTTGAATGGGATTACTACTTTATTTATAACCATTTTTTTAGATTACGTTTTAATAAATATTTAAATCTAAAAACAAAATTAAATTTATTTGAAATTTTACGATTATAGAATCTATAAAATATACTTGCCAAAATTACATCTTTGATAGATAAACCATATATATGTCATAATATATTTTCAAGGTCCAAGACAGTTTTGAATTGGTTGTTTCGGTAGTCCATGCTAGTCCATGCTATATTACCTTACTTAGGGGCATTAGGCTATGAAAACCCTACCTTTTAAACAAACCTAACAGAGTTCCATTTGGATTTACTTACCCTATAATTATAGATATATTTATTTGTCGCTAAAACTCATCTGTGATTTAGTTAAAAGGAGATGGGCGAACATAGCTTGCAGAAAGCCTATAGCTTCAGATATATAAAAATCATGTTCAATTTGTGAATTCAGTATTTAGAGTAAAGTTTTCTTATTGAAATTTATGAAATTTTGATAAACAAAACTTTTCTGAGGAAAATTTTCTCGGTAAAATTTATTCTTTTATTAAAAAAAAATAGTGGTATTCATGGGGTTCGAACCCTAGCAATAAAAATTTGAGTATCATTTCCTATCGAGACTAGCACTCTAACCACTAGACTACACAAGTCCTGACGAATAGTGGCATTTAAATCATGTCTGTGATATGACCCTTGACTTCTTGGACTTTAAGTATTTCTCGAAAAGATGCGAATGATATGTCATAAAAGTATATTTTTAAGGTATAGTGGGTCCTTGTTCCATATATTTGGAAACCAAAATATATATATTTTTATGCAAACATCGTGGATTAACTTTCAAAATAATGTAGCGAAGACCAACTCGTATCGAAAAATAGTGTTATAGTATGAGAAAATAACTCTTTTTGCCCTCTTTAGTCTGTGTATATGTATAATATTTCATAAGGAAATAATTTCAATCTTTTTGAGATTTTTGCAAATTGTAGAGATTTTACATAAAATGTACTTCAATGTTAGATGAAATATTAAGGAAAATTTTGATATAATTGACATTTAATTTTTCACCTTCTTGTTTGTCACACTGTAGGCTTTTTGCTCGTCATGTTCACCCATCTTCTTTATTTGAATGCTGGCATATATTGAACGACCTCACCTTGTTGTAATGTGAGCATAATGTTCATAGAAAACTTTGTGTTTGATACATAATACACACTTATTCGACTACGTTCCACTACTACTTGCGCAGTGGTAAGAGCATTTCCTCAAGTCTAGTCGGGGTGTAAGGAATTGATCCTTACGTCGCGGGTTCAAATCCAAATGCG